GGTTCAGACACCTATTTCCCTGTTTGTTTAACTTTCCACCTCCCGGTCTCCTGCTGCCTAGTCCAGTCTGTTTCTTTCCCTGACCTCCTTCTCCCCAGTCCCTGCCCCTCCGGGAAGGAACTGTCTGGTTCTGTCTGGCAAAGAGAAGGCGAAGGCACCAGCTGGCCATCCTTGAGGGCCCACGACCTGCACCGTCTCCACAGGGGAACAGTTCCCGGAAGACAGGGACCCCAGCTGCTGACAGTGTGATTACACTGACCCAGAGAGAATGGCCGGCGTGGTCCCTACCTCTAAGAAATAAGTCCAAGAAGGAAGAAAAGGGGGTGGGGTGGGGATGAGGGAAGGAACCCCCACACTCAAAATTGTTCATTTGTTTTCTTTTTCAAATTCCCAGAAGTTAGGCATGCGCTGCTCTTCCCAACGGTTTCACATGCTGTTTTTTCAAATGAAGTAGGCTGTAAAATATTATCAGAAAAAAAGTAACACATAATAAACAGACCACATCTAAGAAAATTAAGAAAAATATCCCAGGGCCAGCAGATGGGATAGTGGTTATGTCACTGGACTCCCACATGGCTGACCACAGTTTTGAGTCCCCACTGGCTTGAAAATCATGGCAGGCGTGTGTGTGTGCATGCCCAAGATCCTGGGAGGAGGATAGTGGAGAAGAGATTGCGAATCACCCCCTATGGGATGATTTCACACTATCTCTCTCTCTCTCTCTCTCTCTCTCTCTCTCTCTGACCTCTCTCTCTCTCTCTCTCTGACAAGTACATGCACCCTAAGGCAAAAACCTCTCAAAAAAAAAAAAAAAAAAAGAAAGAAAGAAAGAAAAGAAAAGGAAAGAAAAGAAAAAAAAAATCCAAATATTTTCTCTTTTTTGTCCCTTAAAGGGCTTTTAGTTTCTTGAACAGCAAAATACAAAGAGACCTGGTCCTACCCTGACTATGGCCATGTGGCTTCCATTTACAACTTAGTTTAGATCAGTTTCAATTCTCCAGTTCTAAGAATTGTCCAAAACATAAAATTTACGGCATCATAAAATATCACATTGGCACCTCTTAGATATAAACGTCTATGGCAAGTTGAAGTTTTACACAAAAACGGTGGAACGTTGTCAGTAGCTACGTCCAAAGCTCGCCAGTAGTTTCCAGAATGTGCAAGTATTTCTGGGGGAAGGACTAGGAAGAATGGATTTCAGTCCTTTTGCCCTGGAAACTTACATTGCTTAAAGATTTAACTCTGAAAACTAAGACTCCTTTAAAACAGAACATTATTCTCATTCTTTTACAAGAACATTTCAGTCTTCTGAAATTTTGAAACTACCACAGATGTATACTGTCAGTCTCAGAAAAAGTGAGAGAGTAGCATTCCCCAAATACCTTTAGTAACAATCTATTTGTTTCCCAAATAATTCTGTTTTTGAGAGGGAGAGTGAGATTTTCGACTTAGGGTGTGTGTACTCACCGAACAGACAGACAGAAAGCCAGAAATCACCCCTCAGATGGAATGGCCAAGCCGCAATCCCTTCTCCTCTGTTCTCTTCAGAATTTTGGGCACATACGCACGTGCACCCAGCATGAGTTTCTAGCCACTGGGCCCGGACTTGAGCCATGGTTGGCCAGGTGGGAATTCAGCACCTTAACCACTACACCACCTACTGGCCCCTCCCAAATAATGATTTTTTTAGAAAATTTATTTATTTATTATTATTATTTTTCAATTTTGACCAGAGAGGAAGAGAGAGAGAGTGTGCACAAGCCGCCAGGTCCAGGACTTGGACCATGGTCGGCCATGTGGGAGTCCAGTGTCTTCAACTACCACACAATCTGCCAGCCCCAATAATTCTTATTTCAAAATATTCTTTTGATTCATGCATGGAAGGTACGGTTTACTAACTGAGCATCTCTTTTTAACACCTCCTCCCTCAAATGTGTGCTAAGGGGCCTTATCAACAAGGACTCCAGCTGTGGCACTCAGGTGTGGCTGCATTAGCAAAGGGAGAGCAGAGAGCAAGGAGGCCCGCCTAATCCTCAGAGCAGATATTTCTCCCCATAGCCTCACAACAACCCCATAAGATGTATAAAGCAGTTATTATGAACTTCCAGAGAGATCTGGAATGACCAACCTAAATCATACAGTCAAGTCATGGCAGACCTGTCTCTCAGACTTCCTCAACCCACAGCATGGCTGCCTTCTCTTGCCACGTACCTGTTCCCACTCTTCTCTACTAGAGGCTCTAGGTCAGCCATGGCTGAGCATCTGGCAGCTTGGGAGAGGCTTTGGCATGAAGTAGAGACATTTATGCAAGTCTGTAGGTCTCACCAAAGAGTTCCTCTCCATTGCCCTTTTCACCAAGCTCATCTGGGTTAAAACTGTGTTTACAACATTACAGAATTTCTTCCACCCACCAGCCATGACCACCCACCCTCTGTCTGCCATAAGTCTGTTCTTCTGGAGACCCCGCTGTAATCCTTTCACTGCCCAGGGCCAGGTCAGTGGCACTGTGAAGTCCCCTAGACTGGATTAGAGCCAGAAGCCATTGGTGAGCCTGACTCACCACATGATGCCAAGTGGAGCCTTTGTTCGTCATGTCAGCCTGGGAGGTCTTTTGTCCAGGCTCCATTCCCTGTTCTGGGGAAATCCTCCTTATCCTCTAAGCCCAGCTTAAATGCTTTCTACCCTGTGATAGTCTCCAGGATGAATAGCTGAGCCAGATAGTCATTCTCTCCTTTGCTTTATCACTCCATGTTTCAGGATCATTGTTCAGCACTTATTTTATTTTGCCTTTTAAAATGATTTCAGCACTGATATGCCTCTCTTCCCTAGTGAGTGGTAAGCTCTGAAGAGAGAACTGTCTGACATTTCTTCGTATCCCATTCCTTGCCCAGCACTTAGCAGGAAACATTTATTGAGTATCTTTATATGTAGGCACATGCTAGTCGTCACTTGAGATAGTTAATCTATAAACTTAGTAAAAGTCCAAAGAAGTAGATGGTAGTATCCTCAGTCTTCAAGTGGAAAGATGGAGATGCAAAGAGGTTAAGTAACTTGCCCACAGTACACAACACACAGGTGGTGAAGCCAAGGCTCACCGAGACTCGAGTCCATGCCTGTGTGAACCTTCCTCCACTTTTCTCATTCCTGACGGGCCTTCTGAAGTTGCCTGCAGGGCCTTAGTATAAAATCTAGTTCTGCACCCTGTCAGTTACCCTGTGACTCTGTTATCCAAGTCAGACAACATTTAGAATACTATGACACTGATCATTTCTAGAAGTCTCTATCAGCTTTTATCACATACTCCTGCTGATTGCTGAAAGGGGAGAGAGTTTTCATTCAACTTGTGCATATTAGCTGCCATTGCTGATGTTCTGACCCTTATCATCTCTTGACATCATCTCTTAGCCTCCTAGCCAGGCCACCTATTTCCTCCTCTCACACTCCTCCAAACCTCTTTCCCCCAAATCTGGAGGGAAGTTTTTTCCAGCCAAGTACTAACCAGATGCAACACTGCTTAGCTTCTGAGTTGAGATAAGATCTGGCACATTCAGAGTGGTTTGGCCATAGACTAGAGTGATTTTTTTTTAAAGAATTATTTATTTAATTTCATTTATCAATATCATTATTCTTCAGTTTGCTACAGGGCATGTGCACTCACCAGAGAGAGACAGAGAAAGAGAGAGAACGTGAGAAAGCAAGTCATTAGATCTGAGACTTGAACCGCAGGAGGCCATGTGGGAGTCCAGCACTTTAACCGCCATGCCGCCCGCTAACCTCTAGAGTGATCTTCAACAATTAATCTTATATCGTGTTACTTCCCAGTTGAAAATCTTGTGACTCCCGATTGCCTACATTCTCCTCTAGACATGCTAGGACCACCACAGGCTTCTTCAGCCTCGTCTGTACCCCTTTCCTCTCTCACCCAGCACTCCGTCTAAGCTACTTGTGAGTCTCTGAACACGCTTGAGCTCTCCCTCACCTCTCTCCCCTTATGTGTCTGAACATTTCCTTTTGTCTGAGCATCCTTCCTTCCCATTTCCCCTGCCCTGACGGTCAACTCGCCCTTTAAAACTCACGGTTGCTCTCATGTCACTTACTCTATACCTGACCTCTCACCTCACCGTCATTGCTTCCCCTCTGCTCTCCTAGCACTGGTCTGTGTCTTTCAAAGCTGACCATTCTGGAGTACTCGTTTTTCTACTCCAGGGTGTTAGGTTGATCTGCTTAGATAATCACTAGTTAATGTCAGAGATAAAGAAATACATTGTCCAGTCCACAGCGGGGCATGCTGCTAGGATGCTACACCCAACAGGCTGTCAATTCCCGGTCCAACCTAAAGGCCGGGTGCAGTGGCCTGTGTCTATGAACCCAGTGACTCAAGGAGAGGGAGACAGGAGGATCATGAGTTTGAAACTGGCCCACACAGCATAGCAGGACCCTGTCTGAAAAAGAACCAGCAGGAGGGCACAGCCCTGTCCTAGCGGGGAGGCTGAGGCCTGAGGATTATAAGGAGGCAAGACCCTGTCTAAAACAAAGCTAATCAGAAAGAGAAAAAGGAAACCTAGTCAAAAGAACATGAAGGTGCACATGAACCAGATCAACGAACATTCCAGGCTCCTTCTACGGGTAAAGTAGAAACACAAGTTTGTACAAAACAGACAACACCATGCTACTAGTAATAGCTAAAAGCTCAAGGGTGTTCACAGAGTCAGAGAAGGACTCGGTGTGTGACTTGACCCTAGAGGATGCCTTGTAGGATGCTGAATGGACAAGGGGTACAAGGCGAGAAGGAGCCGATGAGTTCTGGGGTAACTGACCCTCTACGGAATACATGGAGAGATCCCTCTCGGCAATGACAAGTCTGAATACTAAGTAGCCCATGGGCTGGCCCATTGAATTTCTATGGAATTGGTCCTCCTGACTCAGGGCCGCTTTTCCCTCACTG